CTAAAACTGATTTTTGACATTATCTTGGTTATATAAGAATCGGGCTGCAAATATGTTATCAACTTTAAAGACATCTTTACTCTTATCAACTGATTTAAATTAGCCTACTGTTAGGTTATGTGAACCACAAGTATTTGAGATAATGTCTCGAGTGTTTTTTTAATCTATAAGCCAACTTAAGTAGAACTTTTGGAGGATAATATATATCTGAAAGTTAACACACAGAAACATGTACATATTAACCTAAATCATAGGTAACTTTTATGTTATCAAATTTTAGGGCTTTTATTTGTAAGTCCTATGTAAGCCTTGAGACTATCAGCCCTCATCTTTTAATGTTTTAAATAAGTTTGGCAACTCTGAAAATCTATATGGCTTTTCCATGGAAATCTCAAAAAGAACCAAAAAAGAAAAAAAGAAAATCATTGAGCTCAAAAAAATATTTTTCGTAAATGAAAGCTGCAGGTGATTTAACTGGTTATTAACATACATAAAACAGACATATGGGAAAACAAACAAGATGACTTAAATCAGAATTCACTCTCAGATGTATTGGCCAAGTTGAACTACAATAATCCTTCTACAGATTTTAGATTTGTAACTATAAGTAGACTAGTCAGAACTTTTCTCCTAGGTCATCAATTTAACAGAGATTTCTTGTAATAAGAGTAAGAAGGGGGAAAAAACCTTTTGTACCTGTGAAACCAAAGACTGTTTTTAAAGAAAAGACTTAGGCTGACAGTTTATCTTATTGGAATAGCCAGATGTACAGGTTTCTTGGGGCCCTCTGTTGCTTTGATAACTGTGGTTGTTTGATAGCTGTACCTGAGAGCCCAAACTGCTGCTTTGATAGGCACTTGTAACAGCTCCCACTAAGGGAACAGGCTGCTAAAGGTAACTTCAACTATTTCCAGAGGGTGCCAGATTTGGGTGTAGAAAGAGACTGAGTATGGATTCCAAAAGGTGGAGGAAGAAGGCTTGCCAAGGCCCCAATCTGCCCTGCTGCAGATATTTATCTAGGGCAGTTTCTTCCCCTTCTGAAAAGAGATAAAGGGAGAGCAGGCATCCTTGTCTATCCCTCTTGTTCTGTGCCCCTAAAATTTAGCCCTGGGCAGTGCCAGTGGCAGCAAATGTGAGATGTGGCCAGAATTGGGTTTATCTGCTCTTATTGTGCACCTGGGCCCCTTTCCTCATGATCCTGTGACCCTTGGATCATACTTAACTGTTCCTTTTTGAACTCTCAGCATACTCTGAGAATAACTGCTGGCCTTGAAAGATGTTCTGGAGAGAAATAATGGCAAGAGAAAGGTAGTCCTTTGGGGACTGGGGCTATCTATCCTTTAATACCTGTTTCTGTTTAAAACTGTTATCAAATTGATAAGGGTTCTGTTGTGCCTTGTATCTAGATGTCCTCCCGAAGCTTTGTGCTGTCACAGGTGGGGCTTTTTGGAAGTGGCTAGATCTAGGGTGAGTGATTCTGGGATCAAGGATGCAATGCTAGCATTAATGGTCTGAGTGCTACCTGCCCAAGAGTGAGTGGTATGAATAAGATATAAGGGTCAGAAAGAGGCTTGCCACTGGTCTCTTATTGCTTGCTACTTTGGTGTCTTCTCTCTGCCATGAACTATTTCTCCTCTGTGATGCCACCCTGCCTTGGAGCCAGACGGCTATGAACTCTAAGAACCATGAGCTACATAAACCTTTCCTCCTTTAACTTTGAGTGTCTGGTATTTTGTGTCAGCAATAAGAAAATTAACTAAAACATGTTCCTAGGAACTCTTTTTTTTGTTCTATCAATGAGTTCATCTGTGCTATAAAAACCAGCCAGTCTGCCCTGTGGAGCAGCATTCTTGAGGGGACTGGGAAATGAAAGGAGTCAATTTCCAGTTCTGCCTAAGGGCAGAAAGGCTGATAAATTTGGATTGGAACTTCTTTATTTACTTGAGAGTTTAAGGATTAAATATAGACCAGTTTTTAAGAATATGAGCAAGCTGGCACACACCTACAATCCCATCACTTGGGAGGCTGAGGCAGGAGGATCACCACAAGTTTGAGACCAGCCTGAGCTACCTAGTAAGTTCAAGCCAGTCTGAACTATGTAGTGAAACCCTGTTTCAAAAAAAAAATGGATATAGCCCACAGATCAGTGAAGTCAACAGGGAAGGGAAAACCCACCATTCTGGAAACCTAGTCTTGGAATCCAGCAGCCATAGACAAGAGAATTGCCTTGGACACAAGGCTACTATTGTAAATTACGTTATTTCTCAGGGCAGGGGCAGAATAGAAGAGTGACCCTATGCAAGGCACAAGAATCAAATCCTCAACATCTCCCATGGTTAAGACCAAATGCTTTCCCAGAGTGGATCTCCAGTCCTTGAAAAACATGCTTCCAAAGACAAAAACTACAATCTACTCCAACAATCAATGAACCTGAGCTGCTGCTAACTTTCTGAGATCGAGCGAAAGAAAGTCAAAAGACAGAGTGAAGATGCTCCTTTACACTATTTTTCCTGAGTCATAAATATGCATGCTTTTGGAAGTAGCTCTTTTTGGTCTCACCCAGAGATCAGTTCCTTCCACTATGTCTCAAATGAGGAGCTCTCCTGCCAGTTGCATGAGAAACTCCTGCCCAGGCACCTGGTCAGCCAAAACTCTCATGTGTGCCTTCCTGAATGAGCATGAATTCTGATTCCCTTCTAACCCAGGGGTGGGGGTTATGTAGTCTATAAAGAAATGCCTGTCTTCAGTGCTCTTATAGATGAGCACTCACTCCCTAGGGGCTCAGGAGCTTCCAATTAGAAAGGAAAAAACAGATTTTCAGGATTGCAGAGAGAAGCACATTGCCATTCTTGGCACACATCCCTGACAGAGGTGAACTTCCAAAACTTGTCCCATAGCCTCTGGCTGAATCCTCAGACACACCTGTGTAAGGTGTCAGCCTAAAACCATTCTAAAAGCTGTCTGTAATAAACCCATTTTCTAACAACCAAACAAATCAAGTAAATAGTACAAAGCCCTCTTTGCAAAAATGTTCCATCACAGAAATCCACATCACAGTTTTTCATGTTCTCAACTTTTAACATGGCACAAGCAACCAACAAAAGACACAAGCAACTAGCAGACAATGGATGACAATTTTTGATTACCTATACAAATCACAATCCAGAATCCAGTCAAAATATTTAAGGCAACCATGGAACAAAATCAAACTCTTACCTCCTTCCAATTATCTTGGTGGGACCTCCAAAATGTTATAGGAGAAATATAACTCCCAAACAGATGTCAAATGTGCCAAGTTCATGGCCCCACAACATTGAGGAATGATATTGTGAACCAAAGGAAGAAGTTAGGAGAGTTTTATTGGAAATAAGGAGAGAAATATAGCTTCTGGATTTCTAGGAGGAGTCCTGAATGGGATGGCCACTGAGGCCTTTTTCAGGGTAATTTATACAGCAAAGTCACAATGTGAATACAACATGGGCCAAACTACAATCAATCTCTAGGATAACAAGTATAGTTGCTTAGCTAATATTGATCCAGTAGGAAATGAGTCATGTAGCAAGGTTACATGGAAAGAACAAAGATATTTTTGGGAAGGGATAAATCCAGATGCTCTGGCCACCCATGTGGGTGACTGATGCCTATCTGTACTTATTCAACCAGGTGGTGATAATTACAGTATAATCTCAAGTTATTGTTTAATCCCTAAGGGAGGCTTGCAGGCCTGGCCATTTAATCTTTACCTTGAGGCCTGGACTTCCTCAGATGTGTTGCCAGCCATAATTCTGAAGTCTTTATTTTTTTCCACTGACTTCCTTAAGAGGTCAGGCCTTCTCTGTATATTAATTCCTATCTAACCTTAGCTGTCTACAATACTGAAAAATTAAAAATTACACCTTTGTCTCACAGCTTATTTGCACTGGACATTGCTGCCTTAGGGAACTGCTGAAACAGTTAATTTTGTAAAAACCAAGTTCACAGTTTCACAAAAATCAAAGAATGAAGTCACAAGCCAGAGTTTTCATTGGAAATGAGGAGGAAAAATGGCTTCTGGTTTCTCTAGGAGGGGAATCTGAAAAGTGGAGTTTCTACATGGTCTCTTGTTTAGAACTTTTTATGGATAAGTGGAACATGGGAATTGCTCAGTTGTTTAGTGGCCACTTATCGCAGGTGGCTCTGTGAATTTAAAGTGACCAATTGAAACTCAGGGTCGCTAACCCAGTTACTCAGCATGTAGGGTTTAAAGGAAACTGGGGGTTTAGAGGGAAAAAACCTTGTTATTTTGCATTTAAATTCCTCAAAACTCAAGATTTTAGTAGGGAGGGGCTGCATGTTACCGGAGGAAGTTCATCTTGGCCCCAGGTCCTAGTTCACTCCCTATTCTTATTTCAGTTCCCTTGAACATAGCTGATCACCCAACTCTATCTCAGGCCCTTTCCCTAGCTAGCTGCCTTATTCATAAACTAAATCAAGTATTTTTACAGTTTCCCTTTTCAAGTTTCAAACTTCAAACCACAAGTGAAATTTTAAAATAATTATTTTCTTTGTGAATAATACACACACACATATGTATACAATACATTGTTATAACTTTTTTTTGCAGTAGTGGGGATTAAACCTCTCAGGAGGCTTTTGTACTAAGCTGCATTCCTCACTTCTTTACATGTTTTATTTTGAGACAGGTGGGGTTTTGTTAAATCGCCAAGTCGTCATGCTGGACCAGAACTCTCCAGCATCCCAGAGTGCTGGGATCACTGTCATACGCCTGGCAGTGCCATGACATTATATACAGGTTAAATGCAACTTTTCCCAGGTTGGATAGATCTTCCCACGCAGAGGAAACCCTTCCTTAAACGCACCCCTAACCCAGCAAAGGGGAGGGGCGGGGCGGGGCGGGGCGGGGCAGGCTGGAGCCACGACCCCGCCCTCCCGGCCTTCGGCGCCCGCAGGTCGGCCCGAATCCCCGTCCAATCAGCAGCCAGAGCGGGAGGGCGGGCGTCGCAAGCTCTCGTTCTGTTCTCGCGAGCCGATGGTGGCTACCCGGCCCCGGGTCGTCCGCCCCATCCCTCCGCTCCTGTGGCTTCTCCCGCCCGCTGTAGCGCTGGGACCTGCGGAGTGTGGGGTCTGCGAGGAGAAGGCTGGAGACCCGGAGCCGAAATGGCGAGTGTGCGCGGCCCTGGGGCGGGAGAGAGGGAGCCTGGGGACCCTTGTCGCGGGGCGGGGCGGGGCTGCGCCCCTGGCGTCCGCTTTCCTCTCCCGGCGGGAGCCCTCTCCCCGCCGGCCTCTGCCTTCCGGGTGGGGCCCCGCCGCGTCCCTGCACGGCCACGCCAGGCCCCGGCGGGCTGCAGCGCTGCAGCGCGGCTCACGTCTCCCGCCGCGCAGGATCCTCGGAACGGGCCCAGCTCTGCGGCCGCGGTGTTTCCGGAGCTGCAGTCCCTGCGTCCCAGCGCTTTCTTCCTTGCTGGGGTTACTCGTTTTCCTTTGTGTTTCCAACTACGTGGGAAGCGGGTCTCAAATTCTGAGCCCAGCCCCTCCATCCATTCGTCTGGCAACGAATTCCTTGACTTCCAGCTCCCAGCCCATATTCTCTACCTTTGTTTTTGGTGGTGAGATGAAACCTAGGACCTTGCGTCTTTTGAGCACTCCCTACCCATCCCCAGAGCTACACCCCAGCTCTGAAATCTACGCGGGCGGTGTGGTGGACCCAGGGCCTGTACACTGAGCTAAGTCCCCACCTCTTTAAGTTTCTTGGCTAATTACATCTGTGCGTATATTTAATCTTACAGATTAATTTGAGAATTTTTAAGTTTTAATCCCTTCCATTACAAATTAAGCAACTTGAAATTTTGATGTAATGGTACAGATTAATCTGAGGGGAAAAGGTCACTTTTATGAGTTTTATTATCTACATGGGATGTGTGTAATCAGGTTTTTCTGTGTTTTTGTAAATTTTAATTTTTTATAAATTCTATATACTTCGTCTGGCTAATAGCAACTCTCATTCATCCTCTGTTCATGAGAGTTCAGTTGTCCCACATCGTTATGAATATTGCTTATGTTTGTCTGATGTGATTATATTTTGTTTTTCTAATTCTTAGAGATACTGAAATTTTTGATGATTGTTGCACATCTGATATTTCCTATGTGTGACGGTTGAAGTCTCTTCTATGTAGTTTGTTTCTTAGGGTCTTGCTAAGTAGCTTAGGCTGATCTTGAATTTACTGTGTAGCCCAGGGTGGCCTTGAGCTCGTGAGGATCTTACTGTCTCCACCTCCCGAGTGCTGGGATCTGCCCGTGGCTTACTCTTCTTTCAATGATTTAGTTTGATGAATACAGTTTTTATTTTTATGCATTCTGCTTTATGAATACTTTATATTTCATATTGATCTCCGTGACTCCGAAAAGAAATACTTTTTTTCTAAAGCAGCTTTTGAAGGTCTCATAGTTTCCTTTTATGTTTAAGTATTTCTTTCCTTTGAAATGATTTATAATGCGGTATGAGGAAAGGATACAAAAGCATTATTTGCTACATAGATGCCCTGTTTTCCCAGCAGCTTTCATTCCAAAGGGAGTCCTTTTTTTACTCCCCCAGTGCAACTCCTAGCAGTTACATGTATCTAAAAGGAAAGGGTCTGTGTAAGTGTTGTCTTTTTAGTTCAACATGTGTATTTATTCATCTCTTTATCAGATCTACACAGTTCATAAATACGGTTATCTGCTGCATAACAGTATTTTGGTCAGTGATAGAGTTATACAGTGGTGGCTATAACTCCTGGCCTGAGTGTGTAATGGGCTGTGCTTTCTGACTTGTAAGTACACTCTGGGAGGTTTGCACAATGAGGAAGTGGCCTCGCGTGCCTTTCCCAGAATGTATGTGCATCATTAAATGAGGTATGACAGCGTATACACGAACATATGTTACAGTTTAATAATACATGCTTCTTCATAATCAAATTTACCAGAATTCTTTCAGTTTCATCAATATTTTACTTTACTTTTATTTTATGCTTTGGTTTTGTGTGATAAGGTCTCACTATGTAGTTCAGGCTGACCTTGAACTCACTGTGTAGTCCAGTCTGGCCTGTAATTCACGGCAATCCTCCTGCCTCAGCTCCACAAGTTCTGGGATTACAGATGTGCACTACCATGCCCCGCTCAATTTCATTAGTCTTTTAAAAGAAACAATATTTGGCATTATTGGTATTCTATATAGTATGTTTACTTTCAATATGGCTAAATTTTTCTCTTTCACTAGAAAGTCTCTTCACTCTTCTATTACACAGTTTGGCTTTTCTAAGTTATGAGACAGATGGCTAGCTAGTGAATTCTTACTGGTGATTTAGCTCAGTGGTTCCGGCACCTGCCTTGCAAGCGCAAGGTCCAAGTTTGATCCCCGGTACAAAAAAAAATTTCTTTTTACCTATTTGAGACTGTATGTTTCCTCTTGAACCTGTATGCATGCTACTTGTTTTTACAGATTTATTGAAGTATAATTGAAATAATCTGCATATATTTAACAATGCTATCTACATTTTCTTTTTTTTTTTAATGTATTAAATTCTTTTATTGGGACATTGTAGGTATACAACACAATTACATTTCTCATTGGGAATT